GTAGGAGCAATAATGACATTAAAATGTCGATATTTTACAAATTCATTTATAGGGTTAACACAATTGCACTTAAACTTCCACTGAGATTTATTATTAAATGTGTTTAAGTAAAACTAAGATTCATCTAGAAGAATGAATTCACAAGTAGAGCTCAGAAAAAACTTTTTAAATGCAAAACAGAGAAGATTAACCAATGAGATTTGCCCTGTTATATATAGAAACATAACACTAATATAGACAAAACATGTGGTTTTGGCACAAGAATAGATTATTGGAACAATGAAATGAAATAGAAACTCTGGGAAAAGAATACATACATTAATATAATGAAGTAAACCTAGACACGTATTCTGACACATTACCCCAAAAGAAACACCAGGATGATTAAAGATTTAAATGTCAAAAATAAGCCACCATAAAAATCTTAGAAGAATATGCAGCAGAATATTTGTGTATCTCAGAGTGAAAAAAGGGTTTTACAAGTATAAAGGCAATACAAAATAGAACAGAACATTGATATGACAACATGAAAGAAAACCTTTTATATTTCAAAAGTCAGCTTTTCAATTTTTGCCAGTAACAGCCATTGTTTCTAACCATGGGGGTCTAAGTTTCCAGGCTTGTATTGGAACAGGATTAGAAATGGAATTACACTACACACTGGGTGATTGTGTCAACAACCTCTAGAATGATTTCTTCTTGGAATGAGACTTAAGATACCATAGTTCTACTTCCATTGTGCATTGATACATTAAGTCATTTATAACATTTCCCAAAACTCCAATCCAGAGAAGTTTCTCTATCACCAGGGCATTGCTTTTGGAATTCAGGGAGGCCTGAGTTCCGGATGGGAATGGGAGTGAGATGGTCCAGTGAATGGTAACAGTCACTATTATTCCTTACTTTACAGAGGAGGAATATTCTGCTCCTTTATGAGCCAACATTTACTTTCTCTGAATTAAATGCTACTGGTTTCTTATTTATAGAAAGCAGAGATTGACTGGGCACACTTTCCCCCACAGTTTCCAAGACTCTGTAATTATATGCAAAATAGTAAAATTAAATTCAATCTAGATGAATCCATATTTCAATAAGGATATTAGTGACTTACGTCTAAAAATTAAAATTAGACACGTTAATCCTGTCATGCTTTCCATTCAAATGTTTGTCCTAAACAGCAACAACAACAAAAACCTGATTTCCTAATACTCCATTTAGCTTTTATTTCATGCCATTTACAAAGTTTAGGCAACATAAATGCACATTATGCATATCTCTGTCCCATATCTCAGTCTAGATAATTGTCTAGATAATTATCTAGACAACCTAGATAATGAGGGGAAGGTTGAATGGCACAGCAGATAAACCATGTCTTCATGGTCTGAACTATTGAGAGTAAGTATCATCTCCATCACTTAACAACTATACCACTCTGGGCAGATGTGCTGCGCAAGCCCTTTCAGTCTTGCAGGCTTACCCAGTAGTCAGGATTTGTTGCAAGAATACAGTGCCAGCTGTGCTCCGGCCACTGCTCTCAGGGCACTGTTCCCTTTCTCTTTATATGTTCTGATATTTCTCCCATAGCTACCAACCAGCCCATTCTTCCAGTCTTTCCCTGTTCAGATCCTAATGGGATAGAGTTGATGGTCTTAGATAGTCACCATAATCTCTTTTGAGCAGAGATTTGTTGGAGAAGTCAGGCCACTTTGAAGGACACAGGCTGCCTGATATTCTGGCTGCCCTTGGGTCAGATCTCATCCCTGGTCAAAGTGGTGCCACCACTTTCTCAATGATTGCTTAATTCTCCCTCCTTCATCATGCTTTAGAAGGTAGCATTTCTCTTAGAGGAGCACAGTGAGCAGGGCAGCAGCAGTGGACGACACGCTTATTACAGCAGTGCTGGGTATCATCATAACCAATGTGAACATGTGGATTGTTCTTAAAATGTGCCAGACGTCTCATGAAACATTCAACGTTTCTTAATTCACTCTCACAACCAGAATGAGGTAAGTGTTGTTATTATTATTATTTGATATTTTATAGACAAAGAGAAGCTTACAGCAGGAAATAGCTTTCTGAAAATGATAAGATCAGTGGGTGGAATATTCTATTGGATTCCAGAGTTTATGCTTTTAGCTATCAAGCTATACTCTTCCCCACTATATTTCCCTGAGCTTTGGTTTCCTCATCTATAAAATTGGAACTGCACTGCCTGTTTGCCTTTAGAGCTATACGCAATAAATGTTATGCATTTATCATAGTAAATAGCATATAGTAAAGCAAAGCATGGAAATTCAGGAAGTAACAGAGCAATTGTAAGAATGTCTATGTGGTAAATCTAGATAAACATTACTTGTATACATAATTACAGCAGTGCCTTTAAAACACACACCAACAGCACTTTAATAAGTCAAGAATGCATGTTGCACCTATTAGAGAAAATACCAATTTTTAAAATCATATAAATAACAAGCTAATAGAAGAGAAAATGTAATTAGAAAATATTAAATAAACCCAAAAACTTTAAGGAAGGACAAAAAAAAATCATAGAACAGACAGAGAAAATAGGAATCAACAGTAAGATGGTAGATTTCACCTTGAATTACAGTAAATATAAACAGACTAAATATTCAAATTGAAACATAAAGCTCATCAGAGAGGGTAATAATACCAAACAAAGCTAAACAACCTGCTTACTTTAAATAGAAAGATATCGACAGGTTGAAAGTAAGGGATGGTAAAACTGCTATGCAAAGCAACAGCTACAAAATCAAAGCAAAGAGTGGTTCGTTTCAGAATAATAATAGTTTCAGGTTTAATATGAAATAATCGTAAATTTGTTTATACCTAATAACATAGCCACAAAATATATAAAAATTGACAGATATGCAATCATGTTAAGAGACTGTATAAGTCAGATTTCTCCAGAAAAACAGAATCAAAAGGATATATACATTAAGAATTATATTAAGAAATTTATTTTAGCATATTGGCTTACGTGGTTGTGGGGCTGGCAAGTCCAGAATCCGTAGGAGAAGCTGGCAGGCTGAAACTCAGGCAGGAAATGATGTTGCAGTCTTTAGGCAGAATTTTTTCTTCTCTAGGAAAATTCAGATTTTGCTCTTAAGGCTTTCAACTGATTGTATGAGGCCCACTCACAGTATGAAAAGTAATCTTTATGTGAAGTCAACTGATTGTATATGTTAACTACATCTACAAAATACCTTTGCAGCACTACTTAGATTAGTGTTTGATTAAATAAATGGGCACTAACGGCCGGGTGCAGTGGCTTACGCCTGTAATCCCAGCACTTTGGGAGGCTGAGGCAGGGAGATCACCTGAGGTCAGGAGTTCAAGACTAGTCTGGTCAACATGGTGAAACCCCATCTGTACTAAAAATACAAAAATTAGCCTGGCGTGGTGACGGGCACCTGTAATCCCAGCTACTTGGCAGGCTGAGGCAGGAGAATCTCTTGAACCCAGGAGGTTGCAGTGAACCGAGATCGCGCCATTGCATTCCAGTCTGGTTGACAAGAGCAAAATTCCGTGTTACCACACAGACACACATACAAAAAGGCACTAAAGCCTGGCCCCTATGATGGCACAGGAAACTAATCGTCATAGAGACTTTATCCACACTTTTGAATATATGTCATATTTCAATACATTTTTTTAAAAAGCACAAAATCATAAAGCAATCAACAAAATTAAGCTGAATGCTTCGTAATTGCTGCATTCCCTGGGAAGCTGACTGTGAGATGGAGATTAGCGTGCAGGATATTTCTTACGGGTTGTTTTTGGGATCAACGCCTGTGCAGAGGAGAAGCTGAGGCAGGATCAGGAAGCGCGTAAGTACAGTGCAATGCTGGTGAAGCGGCATCGCTGTCTGTGGTAAATACCCGGGGTTCATCATCTCTCGTCAAGATGACTACCGACATGGACACATATGGTTGAGTTAAGGAGCGGAAAGTTTAACAAGTAGAAGAAAAGAGAGAGGACACCAGCTACCAGACATCCTTGAGGGAAAGGCTGGCCCGTGACTGACTGCAGCAGTTTTTATGGGCCGGCTTGAGGAGGCGGTGTCTGATTTATGTAGGGCCCAGCGATTGGTTAGACCAGGGGCGACGTTTACGTAGCGCGCAGGGAAGGCTGGTCACCCCACCCTAATCTTATTCAGCAGCTAGGCTTTCCACTTGGCCGGCGCCATCTTGTCCACTCCGTACTGTACGCAGGGCTGGCAAAAAGAGAAGCTGGAGCCGTTCTAGGCATGTTCTAGGCATTTAGAACATGCCTAATCCCACGTCGTGTTTTTTTGTTGTTGTGTTTTGAGACGGAGTTTCGCTGTCGTTGCCCACGCTGGAGTACAATGGCGTGATCTCGGCTCACCACAACCTCCGCCTCCTGCATTCAAGCAATTCTCCTGCCTCAGCCTCCTGAGTAGCTGGGATTACAGGCGTGAGCTAACGCGCCGGCCCCAGGTAATATATTTTTATTGGCAGAACTGCCGGCATTCGCCTGTGCAAGCTTTCGGCTTTCTGTCTGTGTCTGCAGCTCGATTTTCCAGGCTGCTCTTTGTTAGAAAAGAAAATGATTTGGGGGCGGCTTTTCATTAAAAGGAAAACCTTACTGAGGACTCCCATACCCTCACTATCTGCCTCAGTACTTTCTTCTTAACTCCTATATCACTGGGTCAGCAGCAACCCCAGTCAGACCTCAAGGGAGATGGGAAGATGGGACGATCTGTCAGAGCTATGCTGAGTTGAGGCAAGAGGGCGGACCTTTATGGTTTGCGAATCAGTGACTCATCGGAGGTCGGGCAACCTGGAAGGAAATGTGGCTTTGGGTGAAGCAGGTGTCTTCACAGGAGGCAGTCTCTTTGTATCTGGAGGGGCAATTGTCAGTGTTCTCCTAGACTGAAGGGTGAATTATGGAGAATGGAATAGAACGTTTTGTTATAATGATTTGGTTGATGACTTACTTCCTGTTTCCTTAGCTTCATCTTGCTGAGCAAAAATGAAGGAGCCTGGACCCAACTTTGTTACTGTGAGAAAGGGTCTTCATTCATTCAAGATGGCTTTTGTGAAGCACCTACTGTGAGTAGATGATTTCGTGTCAGAGACAGTTAACAAATCCTCAGAATATTGCGTCATGTACAGTTATTGGAGATGAGTAACTCACATTCTCTTAATTGTAATGGTTCCTTGGAAAGTCATCGTGGAAGATGAAGGCTGGCTCATACATTTTCCCAGACAGGAATTTGGCTGCCAACAGGGAATTCTGAACAACTGAAAACTCCAGATGAATGCACAACATAATGATGGTTAAATTAAAAAAAAAAAAAAACACGGTAATAAAATTTCCATGAAATATTTTGTGTAAGCGCAGATAACCAGTAATTTTCTTTGTAGAATTCTTATTCTTAAATAATTGAGAATACTTTGTTCTTTGTAATATGTGATGGGCAGCTATACTGTGATTCTTCTGAGTGACTCAATTTTATTTTTTTCACATTTAATGACTTTGTTTCTCCTAAGTGAATGCACAGATAGTGTATTAATCAGGGTTCTCTGGAAAACCAGAACCAATTTATTATCAGGTACTGGTTCATGCGATTGTGGAGGCTGAGAAGCCCCATGAGCTGCTCTCTGCGAGCTGGAGACCCAGGAAAACTGATGAAGGTCAAAGAAAGGCCTGAGAGCTGGAGGGCCGATGGTGTAGATTCCAGCCCAGGTCTAAAGACCTGAGAACCAGAAGCACAGAGGGCAGAAGATCAACATCCCAGCTCAGTCAGACAAAGAGAAAAGTCCTCCCTTCCTCTCCCTTTTTCTTCTATTCAGACCCTGGATGGATTGGATGAGGCCCAGCCACGTTGAGGAGAGCCATCTGCTTTAATCAGTCCACCAATTCAAATCCTGATCTCTTCCAGAAACACCTTCACAGATACACCCAGAAATAACATTCAACTGGTTAGGAGCATCCCATGGTGCAGTCAAGTTGACACACAAAATTAACCATCACGAATACACATCAAAGTTAAGTAATATTAACATAGACTTTGGCAAGCTGTATTTTAAAACACAGTACGTTAGTGAGTCTCGTATAAGAGCACTAGATGAAAACCACAGATAAGGATGTTTTTGACGTTCTGTGTCTGACCTTTCAGATTCCCTGCCTCCCTCCCCACCATATTCTGAACCCCAGAATGCTGACCTCTATAAACAGCCTCACCTGGGCTCTGTTACCCTCTAGCTTCCCATTGGCTCATGGAGGCACAGAGGAAGTTGGGGCAGGAGGACAGAATGGTTGGGGTACCAATGCTCCTCTCAGGCCACGGGTCGGCAGGGGCTACATTCCTGTGTGAAGCTCACTGCCTCACAGTTGTCTCCTCTAGCTCTCCGTGGGGTCTGGTGACCTCTCTCCTTACAGTCCCATCAGTCCTAGGGAAGGTAATGGCTCTCCAGGGGGCGCTGCCCATGGGTGCTTCAGTGTCTCTTGTTGGTTCGCATAGCCCCACCCACACCTGTGTAAATAGCCCTCCATTAACCTCAGCCCGGTTGCCTGGTTTGAATGTACCATCTGTTTCCTTCCAGCACTCTGACTGATACAGCATTTTTGGCGTAGGTCTCCATCACATGTATTTACCTTTGTGTCCTCTGTATTCCTCGTTGATCAGGGTTGTAAATTTTCTCTTCCTGTGACACTAAATTGCCCTTAATAAAGCTTGTTGACCCTGAAAGTCAAAGAGGGCAAAATCAGAGCTAATCTCAGTTTCTTAAAGTGGACATTATACAGAAGGTTAGGAAGTATTAAATACAAGTATTCACAGATGTGTTCCCCCCTGCGAAGCTAATAAACATACATAGGTACTTTTGAAACCAGTGTAACCCCAGGTTGTTTCTGGCTCCCAGTAGGTGCTGATTAGAGCAATGAGTTCCAACTCAGCAGTTTTTGTAAGCTGAACATGAGCTGTTAACATCTCTGCATCAACTCGGGTTTCCTTTTGCTTTTGTTAAAATTGAAGTTTTTCATTTAATATAAGATTTAGAGATTTCTGTCTCAGAGCTCCCCAAGATTTGCTACTTTTGTCTACCCTTGTTTTTAATCTTAAAAATTTAGATTTACTTGTAATTCTAAGTATGAACATTAATTTTGCTTTTATTTTCCATTTTACTGCACAGGAGGAGGGGAACAGATACCAAACCACTGATTATTTTACTTCCATTGTTAATACACATGAGAATGTCAGTCGTCTTGTGTACCTGGAACTTACAAAAAATTGGTTTTTAAAAAACTATAGTAAAATATATGTAACATAAATTGTATCATTTTAACAATTTTTAAGTGTACAGCCAAATGGCATTAAGTACATTTGCATTGTTGTGCAACTATCCCTACCATCCACTTCCAGAACCTTTTTTTATCTTCCAAAATTGGAACTCTGTACCCATTATACAATAATGGCCCATTCTGTTTTCCTGTAAGCCCCTGGCACCCACCGTTCTACTTTGCTTCTAGGAATTTGACTACTCTAGTTACCTCATATAGGTAGAATCATGCGGTATTTGTCCTTTTGTGACTGGCTTATGCCACTTACCATAATGTCTTCAGTGTTCATCCATGTTGTATTAATAGCATGTCTTGGAATTCCTTTCCTTTCTAAGGCTAAATAATATTCCATTGTATGAACAGACCACATACTGTTTTTCTTTTCATCTGTTGGTGCAAACTTGGGTTGATTCTACCTTTTGGCTGTTGTGAATAATACTGCTGTGAAGATAGGTGTACAAGTATTTGTTCAATCTTTGCTTGCAGTTCTTTGAGCTATATATGCAAAAAAAAAAAATGGGATCCTGGATTATACAATAATTCTGTTTAATTTTTGTGGAGCCACCATATTCTTTTCTGTGGTGGCTGCACCATTTTATATTCCCAATAGCAGTGCACAAAAGTTTTTCCACATCCTTGATGGCACTTGTTACTTTCTGTTTTTTGTTTTGTTCTGATTTATCTTTTGACATGGAACATTCTTATACATGGTTACAGATCCATCGTGGTGGTCTTCATCAAGTTAGAGGCTGCAAAGCATCCATATCATTCATTCTTCTAGGGATAAAGGCATTTGTAAAATATCAAATTCAGTAACACTGTTAAATATCTTAAACTTTGTGTGTGGGAGGGAGTAACTACTGGATTTTATAAATGCTTATTACACTTGAAGATGACACATTGCTTTTTTTTTTTTGAACATGGTATATATCTTTATTTTAAAAAATTATTTTCAATATTTTGTTGCTTTCTCAATACAGATTTTTGTAATAGTTCTATATGTATTGCATTTTGGTACTAGTATCAGTAACAGTTTTTATTTTAATTTTAAATTGTCTCTTAATATATTGAGATATTATTGAATTTTTATATAGATCTTTTATCACCCTGCTTAATTCACTTATTGATTTCAACAGTTTTTTTTTATTATTATTATACTTTAAGTTCTAGGGTACATGTGCATAACGTGCAGGTTTGTTACATATGTATACTTGTGCCATGTTGCTGTGCTGCACCCATCAACTCGTCATTTACATCAGGTATAACTCCCAATGCAATCCCTCCCCCCTCCCTGCTCCCCATGATAGGCCCTGGTATATGATGTTCCCCTTCCCGAATCCAAGTGATCTCATTGTTCAGTTCCCACCTATGAGTGAGAACATGCAGTGTTTGGTTTTCTGTTCTTGCAATAGTTTGCTGAGAATGATGGTTTCCAGCTGCATCCATGTCCCTACAAAGGACACAAACTCATCCATTTTTATGGCTGCATAGTATTTCATGGTGTATAGACACATTTCTTTTCTATTGAACATTTTACAGAACAATTTAATTCATCCCAAGTAATATTTTCTGAAGGCTACTATGTACCAGGTTCTGTTACAGGTGAATGGGCCCATCAGTGAACAAAACCTTAAAAAAATTACAGATCATTTGAAATCCACTATTACAGTGACTTCTTTAGGGATGACACTGTTTTCCTATATGCTACCTAGGAAATGTGCTTCCTTCCGAACTCACTGTTATGTCTCAAGAGATTAGTTCATGGCTCAGAAGAGGCATGAGTGAGAGGCGCTCCTTCTACGGCCCTTACTTTGTGCTTGTCTCTGGCACTCACCACTTTCGACCTTGTCATTCGTGTGCTTGTTTTATTTTCTTAAAAGACTTTGAGTTTCTTGAGAGAGGATTTCATCTGTATTTGATTTTCTACAATTATCTGCAGCATTTTGTATATAAGCATTCAAAAGATCTTTATTTCATTTGCTGAATAATAATGAACATGGCTGTTTTATATTCTCTTTATGAGATGATCAGTCACATGCAGCCACGGAGGAGACACAGGGGAGGCTGAGGAAAACAGTGTATTATACTCACAGGTCCTACAAAGAGGAGGCACGCCATGCCACGTAGGACCACATGGGAAAAAACACCAGAGTGGTCAGGAGGCAGGAGGCAGGTGCTCAGGAAAGCATTCAACCAAAGCCTTTCCTGAGGTTTCCTTGGGGAAAGCAGGTGAGCAGCTTAGGATGGGCTAGTTTGAATCATCCTAGTGGGCTCTAAGCTCTAGGGATAGTCTCTCGTTGTCTAGTACCCAGCTCTGGGATGGTTAAGGCAGAAATTTCAAAAAAATTTAAAAAACATACGTGTACAATATCATACACATATATATACAAAATAATATACATATATATTGTGTTCATACACACACACACAAGCGGCAACTCCATGCTAGGGGGAATGGTGATTCTAGACATCCTGAACTCCAGAAAGATAATAGGTAATCTAAGTCACCTCCCCACCTGCTCCTGACTTGGGCGGCTCCCTTGGTGGGTGAGGGGGTTGTTGGTCTGCACTTTGGCGCCCTCTAGGTGAGAACACTGCATAGCCATTCTGGTCTCTGCTGCATTGCACTTTTCATAGGAAAAAATTAGCAAGCTGACCTCTGTTTTGGAATGCCTCAGAAGCTAGAATAGAAGCCCACTCACTCTCCTACAGCACCGCTTTACCCCCACACACCTGTCTTTGCTAGGTAATAAGTAGACGCGGCTTGCAGACACAAAGTGTGAATACTATTAGTAAATTCACCTTGTGAAAGCAGCTCCACCTTCCTCTAATTTGGCCTCGGGGGTTGTTTTGCTATTTTATGAGTCTGTATGTAATTAGTCACAATTAAAATCTGAAGTCTAAGTATATTCACAGTCCAATTTCATCTGAGGCAATGAAAAATAAATAACCCACAGTGACTTTATTACTTCTGTTTCTCAGATGTGGGGAAGCAGAACAGTGCAGTGGGTCTCTTC